TCTGGCAGCTGGCTGGGCCATTGCCCGCAGGGGCGGCGAGCGTAGACCCAAGCGTCGTGGTGTTCCTTCACAAGCAGAGCCAGCCGGTCACACGAAGGCGCTGCAGGTCCTCACGTGGATCGTCTGCACGCTGGCCAATACTGTCGTGAGCGCGCAGACGCAGCACACGGCCGTGGGTTTGCTCCCTGTTCCGTCCGCAGGGGCGCTTGCTATCTCTGCCGTGCACTCCGCGAGGCCTCTGCAGTGATTCGGATCACCAGTAATTTGCGGGAAGGGCATCGTTGTGTGGCTGCCGAATGGTTGCGATGCCAGAGCCGCCTATCTGAACATGGGCACCAAGGCAATGGATTCACCATGCAGTCATGCATACCTGCATATCGTTGCGTGCCTTGCACTCCTGTCCTATCCATATGTCTATTCAGCTTCCCTCTTCTCTGCCCCTAGCTGGTGCGATTCGTCCCCGTTCCCACTCCTACTGCCGTCGCCTGCGTCCCCCTGGGCCAGCATGCACGCCGCTCCCAGAACTTCTCGCAGGTGCCGTGAAGAGGGCCGCTGGAAGAGAACACGGTTCTTCCTCTCCACATCCCGCCCTCCCTCTTCCCCCCCTGTTCATCCTTCCCCCTCCTCGTTCGCCGCCCTCCACTGCCCCCTCCTCCAGCTTCTCTGTTCATCCCTCTCCCTCCTCCCGCCCCCCTGGGCCTTCGGCGTCCAGGTTCGGGTGCTGCTGCCAGTGGCCACGGCGCCCATGGAGAGAGCCGCACCTCACGCCCCCCACCGAAATGTCTCCAGGAGTTCCAGGATTCGGTCGGCTGGTGTGGGAGAAGCCTTCTCGGCTTGCACGTGTCACGTCATCCTTGGGCAGGGGTACTTCAGATCTCCCCTGTACATTTCTAGCATGGGCCTGCATCGCAACACTCAAGCCACTCGAAGAGACGCATGGCCTCTGGTTCGTCACTTTTCGGGTGACCGAGAACTCCGCAAACATCTGCATTCATATGTGCATGCAAGTCACATGTGGAGATACAGGGTGAGAAATGAGGGCGAGAGAGAGAGAGATAGAGAGACATAAAAAGAGAGATAGGGAGAGATCTTGCGCCAAATGAGAGTCTTGGGGTGCCTCAGTTTGGCATGATAGGGGTCTCCTGGTGGCGTCTGGGGTGGAGGCCTCTGCGGGCTTCGGGGGGCATATTGGAGCCCCTTGGGGGGGTATCTTGGAACGTTTTGGGATCACCTTGGGCCTTCTGGGAAGGCATCCTGGAGCCTCGGCGCACCCTGGGGAGTGCGAGGACCTGAAACGCGAAAAAGCGCTGCTTCGCCTCGCCAGTCGGTGGATTCGCCAAATCAAGCGGATGGAGAACAGTCATCAGTAACCAGAAGCGGCGATGGGAGGTACGGGGGGGGGAGGGGGAGCTTCCTCGCGCGCCGAGGGCTCACGCAATAGGATAAGCTCACTAAGAAACTCCATCAAGGTATGGCGAAGAGCCCAGGAGATAGCGAGACGTCAGCGCCGCGGGAGGCCACAACTTCGTCACACACACAAACACGCGCACACACACAGTAGTGCAACACCACTTTAGAGATGGCAATCAACGTATGGCCCTGGCAACCATGAGTCGGCATGGCCTGCCAGACAGTGCGAGAGAAGCGCACGTCAACCCAGTCAACCCTGCCTTCTGCAGCAGCCCCACGCAGAGGGAGGCCGAGGGAGACCCCCTCCCAAGAGACCCGACGGAAATTCCTTTGTCTCTGCGGCACCCGTCTGCTGGAAGCCTGCCTGCGCTACATCCACATGTAGTGAAGCCTCCCACTGTAGCCAAGGACACGGGGTGACTCTGACGTTGCGCTCGCTTCAAGTGGACCTCTTGACCGAGCGACGTCGCAGAAGTCTCTACAGACAGACACAACTCTGAGATAGTTGGATGCTGCCCTGGGGAGCCTGGGGCGTACGGCTTTCCGAGGCAAGGCAGCTCCCCGCTCCCTGGCCTGCCTGCCGCAGCAGCTGCGGAGCCTGCCAGCCTGCACGGGCCTGCGCACCCGGAGGGCAAGCTGAGGAGATCGTGCTGGACAGCAAGCGACCGAAGACAGTGTGCGTAGCAAGACGCAGCACACGCAGGCGCAGTGACACATCCAAAGAGCTCTGCGAGCGCAAGATCACAGCAGATGGCGCGGGCTCGGCCGCCCACGCTCTGGAGGACGGAGGCGGGGAAGGGCAGATGGAAACAAGGAGTGCGGGAGGGGAAGGAAGAGTGTCTACGCCAGCGATGCAACATTACCGACTCAGAGCACCAGGCACATCCTCCAGCCAACTGGATGTTACGAAAACGCATGTTGGTGCTCAACTGGACACATGCCCAGGAGGGGCACTTGCTTGGAGGACTGGCCTGCGTGCTGGGCGAAGGCCGCAGAACTATTGAGACTGATGCGGCCCGCGAACGATCCGCCACCGTGCCTTGAGGCATGAGTTGAAGCGCCCTCGGGCCATTTAGAGCTACTGTATAGGGGCCCACAAACCGGAACTCTGGGCGCTTTCCGGCACTTCTGGGCGCTCCTGGGCGTCTCTGGGACTTTCGAAGCGAAGAGGTCCGCAAGACGGCCCAAGAGGGCCCAAAAAGGCAGTTAGACGGTCCACGAGCGCCCCGGGTCGTCCGAGATCGCTCAAAGACGCCCAAGATGGCCTCCAGACGGCCCAGGAGGCCCCCAAGTCGCCGCAAGAGGACCCCAAGAAAGCCCCGAGAGGCAACAAAAACACGCATTCCCAGCCATCCTGCGATGTTGGGCCTTCGCCGCGCGTCTCCTTTCCCCCCCTCCTCCCATCATTACCGCATCCTCCCGCATGTCCCCATCAGCAGCATCATCGTCAACGTCATCGTCATCATCACTACCATCAACATCATGGTCATCAGCAGCGGCTGCAGCAGCAGCAACAGCTTCAGCAGCAGCAGCAGCAGCCTCAGTAAGGCAGCCTCGTGGCTCCATAGGAAGCTCCACCTGAAGCCCTTGTGGCGGCGTTCGCACGCCGTCTCCACACAATTTCGGAGCACCGTTCACATGTTTCGTGGTTCCCTAGGAAGCTCCTCTTGAGGCCCCGCATGCCTTCTCCACACGATTCCGTAGCACCCCTCACACGCTTCGTGGCCCCATAAGGAGCTCCACCTAAGGCAGCAGTGGCTAGGTTCGCACGCCGCCTCCACATCATTTCCGCATACCTTCACACGTTTCGTGGCCCCGTCGGGAACTCCACCTGGACCCAGCGGTTGCAGTCGCACGTTTTCTGCACACGAATTCGGCGCACCACTCACATGCTGCTTCATGGCCCAACGAGGAACTCCACCGAAAACCCCTGTGGCAAGAACCCCATGCGTGACCGCGCCAATTTCGGCACACCCGTCAAACGCTTCGTGGCATCACAGGGAGCTCCAACGAAGGCCCCAATGGCAGGACTCCCGTGCATGACCGCGCCCATGCTGGCACACTCCTCGCGCTTCGTGGCCCCATGAGGAGTTCCACCGAAGGCTTGGCCACCTGCTGCTCCCCAGGGCCGCCCAGACTGACACGTAGATCAGCCGTAACGAGCGATATTCAGATGTAGCCCGTCACGCCCGACCTTTGCGACCCCATGTGCGAAGGCGCTCCGTCCTTCTCACGCACACCTTTATCATTTTGCGAACCTTCTGCTAATGTCTACCTGTCTCGCGGTACTCACAGCTGCAAGCGGCTGGGCCCTTTCCTCGGGCATAGTTCCTAAGGTTTTGAAGGATATCGGCGTTCTCGCCTGACTCGCTTCAATGTTCCAAAGCAGCCCAAGAGGCCCCAAACGTCGCCCAAAGACGGCCCAAGAAGCCCCCATGAAGGCCCCGTGATGGCCCACGAGGGCTCCAAGACGGCCCACGAGGCCCTCGATATGGCACAAGAGGCCCTCAAGACAGCCTCAAAAGGGGCCCAAGAAAGGGGAAACGAAGATGCCCTGAAGCCAAAATCGCAACAGAAACCGCCAAACACATCCAACAGACCCCGAGAGCCCCTGGAAAACCCCAAGCGGCCCCAAAGAGGCCTACAAGTAGCCCCGATACGCCCCCAGAAAACCTCGAGAGGCCTCCAAGAGGCCTCCAAACGCCCCCCATGAGGCCCCAAGAAGGCCCCCAAGAACACCCCAAGAGGTCCTCGAGAGGGCCTAGGACCATAAACCAAGCACGAAGGATCGACGCCCGCTGGGAACGATATGAGCCAAGGGGTACCACGTGGAGACCACTTGATGCATACACTGTGGTTCTAAAAGGGAACATCTCACGAACCTTCTGCAGGGGCATCTCAAGAAACCCCGACAACCACCCAAACACCCCTGGCCCACTATTGGTGCACGGCGGCGGGATTGGTCGACGGCCACTACATCCGCCGACCCCTGCGGCTTGCCACAGGGGCGCACTCGTGCCGAACGCTGGATTGCGTTGGTCATGTGGGTCGTCCCCCGAAAACCGTAAGGAGTGCCGCGACATGCGCGGCCAACTGATGGCGAACACGATTTTTCAGTGCGCAGCTGAAGCCCTGGAATGGCCACAAGCCCACTTCCCCTTCGCCACAGCGGCGATGCAAAGAGGCAAGCTGTCTTTAGTTCGGCAAAAACAGCTTGCAATACTATACGAGTCACACTGGCCATAATCCACTGCTCAGAACCCAATCAACTCCTCGCAGTCATGTGTCAGGCATTTGAGTCAACTGGTCGTCGTCGTCGTCGGTGCCTGGACGGGGCCCTCCTGCGCAGTCCAGCTCGTAGAGGTCTAGACCCGCGAGACAAAAGCTCACGGCGCAGGCGTGGGTAGCGTCAGCTTTGCGCCCATCCCTGTCTCTATCCCTCCTCCGCGCGACCGCGTTTCCCCCCTCCGCGGGGCCCACCGCAGGTGCGCCGCAGGTCGCCAATGGCCGCGCGCGAGATGGCAACGTCAATGGCGCCGGGCGGTCGCCCGCCATCGCCGATCTTGGATTGGCGACGCGGTCGCAGCCCCCATCGGACTCCGCGGCGCTCGCGGCGGGCAAGCGCCCGCCGAACAAGCGCTGCCGCGTGAGGTCGAGGCCGGGGCCCGCGATCTCCAGCTGCATGGCACGCGCGAGCCCCGCCGCGGCCGCGCCATCTGAAATGGCCAGGGCCTCGGCGCCGAGCTGGTGAGCACACGTTGACTTGAGCCTGCGGCTCGTCCTGGACTGGATGGATAGCGGGGTCGCTTCTATGCTTCGGATATTGCGATTCGCCGCGAAAGCAACGTCGCCTGCTCGCTTCGTAACTGAGAGCTACGAAAGCCATCTTGTGAAATTGGATGTTGCGGATCCTGGGCTTCGCGTCGCACTAGTCCCTCGCCCTTATCCCGGCGCGGTTCGCCTTGGCAGGTCACCCGCCACCAGGCTGGGCATCTCTCCCTGGAGAAGAATGACTGGCCCCGACAGGTCAGGCAGACTCTTGCGCGCCAGAAACCTTACATCCGCGCCGGCTCCGCGCCTGCTGGAGTTCTGCTGCAGTAGCGCGCCGCCTCTCCGTGGCAACGTTGATCGACTGGACGTTGGCTTGGCGCCTCTCCCATGACACTGCGGCCCCCGCGTTGCCCATGCTCTGGGCGGGCAGCTTGTCCGCCCACTTGCCGCTGCGGCAGCGCCGAGCTCCAAACGGAAATCGCCGACGAAGCACCCCCCGGGCTGGCTCGGATTCCCGGCCGCCGCGGCCCGCGCCGTCGCCAACTGCGAAACCCATCGCCCCGAGCAAGCCACTCTCGCCCCGCGGGTAGCAGGGGCGCCGGTCCGACATGGAGCGCTTGTAACCCCACTTATTGGCGCGCATAGTGAACAAACCCAGCCGCCGCAATCGCGCCGCCCAGGCCGCGGGCGGCCTTGGGCTACTCGACATGCGGCCCGCCCTCCACGCCTGAAAAACCTGTCCGAGGAAGCTCCACCGACAGGCGCACCTGGGACCTGAACGCACAACCCTTTCTGGCCACGGGGCCGCACGCGTCGAGCTCCAGCAGGTCAGGGTCGGCATGGCCCTGCGCGGTCCATCTCGCGTTTGCCATCCCCTGGCCCTCTCTTCCCTGGAGCTGGGCGGCTTCTTGCCGACGTCGGCCTCGCTGGGATCGACGCCCTCGCCCGCGGGCGCCCGCCGCGGACCCGCGATCCGGTGGGCAAGTGGCGAGGCAGCACGCAGATGTCGAGCCGCAGCTGGGAGGTGCACGATGACTGCGCCCGCCCTCACGACGTCGCCCCATCCGCGGCGCTCGGCGGCGACGCAGGGTTGCTGCATGTCGGCGTTCGGCAAGGCCTCGTCGGCGACCTCCATGCGGTCACGCTGCGCTGAACTGGGCGAATAGCCTGCCGCTGCGACAGCTTGACATGCTGCGCGCCCGCCCAGTTTCCCGGGCGGCCCCTGACCCGGGCCGCGCCCCCCGGCGCGATGTCGGCGACCCCATGGGCAGCTGGGAACGCATCCTTCGGGTCATTCGCGTTCTGCTCGACGGTGGTTGGCGCGTCGCCGAGATGGTCGCGCTTCTTCGCCCCCGCGGGGGTCGGGCCTGGCGCGACCTCGCTCGCCTCCTCGATGTCATTGGTAGACTGATCGGAACCTGTCGGAAGGAGTTCGTCTCCTGCAGGTTCTGAAGGAGCTGCCTGGGGAATGTGCTCAGCCCCCTCCTCGGAAAGCCTTTCTGCTCGGTGGGGTCCTCGCAGTGCACTGGCTCGCCAGAAGTAGCTGCGGCCCCCCTGCTGGCGCGCGGCGCCTCGGCGCGGCTTCCTCCTGCGACCGAGCATTCGTCGCCGCTTCTCGAACGTTCAGCCTCGATTTCGGCAGCACTTGCTGCCCCGCGCGCGTCGGCGCCCCTCGCCGGCCCGGCGCCCCCGCGCACGGCGCGGGAATACTTTGACGAGCTCGGCGGTCCTTCCTCCGGGATCATCTCGGGCAGCCTGAGCGGGCGCCCAAGCGCTCGTCGGCGGGGGGCGAATTCCCCGCGCCTCGCGCCCCAGCAAACAGCCGCGTCGAGGGCGCCCACGAGCCCGTCTAGGTTGCCCCAAGAGCAGGCGCTGAACTACTGTCCAAGTACCTCCTGCCCGCTCAATCTCGCCTGCCTGCCGGGGCGGGGCAGCGCTGGCCACGGCCGCCTCTGCCCCCTCGGCGTCCGCGGCGCCGGGGGCCCCGCGCGCGCGCGTGCGCACGCGCGCGCGAACTCGTCGGCGGCGAGGCAGAACGGCTGCGCCCGCGAACGGGGCACCGAGACGCGCGCGCACACGCGCGCACACGCGCAGAAGAAGCCCTTCTCCCCGCTCAGGACGACGATTCTGGGTTTGCCGCGCACTTTCTTTCTGAACAAGCGGCGACGCCTCCTGCCCCGCCGCCCTTGGCGGCTCGGCGGAGGCGCCGCAATCTGCAGCCTTTCCCCGACGCTCGACTCCTCAGGGCCTGGTCGCGAAGAGTAATGCCCATGCCGATGACGCCGTTGACCTGGCGCGCTGTTGACGGCGCGGGAGGTCGAGCCAGGCGCGGCTGCTTGTTGGTCGCGCGTCGGACGCTCTAGGCGCCGAGCTGCCTCGACGTGCGCCTGCCCGGCCTTTCCGCACTTCAGCGCCATCATGGGGTCCCCGGCGCTGCAGTGCCCCAGTTTTTCGCATGGGGCCAGCGCTCTCCTCGCCACGGGCCCCTTCGCGCCCTGTGGGCCCAGCCGCGCAACTGGTGGTAGCGCGCTCCTCGCGCTCCTCCGCGGGGTCCTTCTCCTGGTTGACCTTCGTCTCGAGATCGCTCATGTCCGCGATGTCAAGGCCCTCCAGAGTGGCCCCCCAAATTGGCTTCTCCTCCTTCGCGACGGCCCTAATCAGCGCAGCTGGAAAAATCTGAGGCTGCTCAGGTACACATCCCGACTTCCACTGAAAGCGGCTGCCAGCATTGCCGTTACTTAGCATATTCCCGAAATCGAGAGTAGCACCTGGCAGGTTGGACGTGAGCACTCTGCTGCCAGCGTTCGATGCGCTGTCCGCCACATCGATCCGGCCGATCTAGCGGGACCCTCGCACTCCCGAGAATTCTGGTCCTGCTTGTAAGGTAGATGTGGCGGGCATCCTATCTCTGTCGATATGATTCCCCAACTTCTCGTTGTAAATCTCAGTGGCTGGCTTGATGATGGTCAACAGTGGTCGGTCTCTCTTGATGACCTGCCACGCCTCCTTCTGGCCGTCTCTATCCAGAAAGTCATGCCCCGAAATTACCGCCACCGAATTTCCACGATAAGGTGGTCGTGCCATAGCACGGCGATCCTCTGCCAGATCTGCGGGTTCGTCGCGCACCGCCTCCTCGCGCGTAGCTACGAAGGCGGCGCTCGTAGGCCTGACGAGCTCGATTGTCTCTTTCAGCTCCGAATGGTCTTTCCATCTATTGATTGATGTTTCGGTCAGTGTCGTTGCTCGTCTTGGTGTCCGAGAGGAGTCGTTCGTTTTCTATTCCTCGCCGATGTCGACACCCAGGTGATCGCGCAGCCTCTTGATTAAGACTAGGTCGGTGGTCGTCGCGTTGGCACTAGTGTCGCTGCGGAGCGCCGTCATGGCCCTCAGCGTCTTCGTCCTGGGCGATTCCTCCTGCCACCTGCTCCTCGTGCTGCTCCCAGCCCTCCTGATCGATATCCTCCTCCTCGGTGGCCGTTGTCTGTGATTGAAGGAGCCCTGGAACACACAAATCAATACACACAAATAAAACCACTCTCCATGTTTTCCTACATTTTCTGGGTTTTTGTCTTCCCCCTCCCATTTCCTATATTTTCCCATATTTTCTGGGGGATCGACGATTAATTGTGTCTGTGTGTTCTTTTCCCTCCTGAGTGATGTAGGCCTCTGTTCTGGCTTTGCCGTCGCCTTGGCTGTGGGTGCTGCCCTGCTGCTTCGGGGTGTCGAGCCCTCAATCTGGCTCTCTTTCCTGCTGGTAACCGTTTTGCCCGTTGGCTTCCAGCCCTTGGTTTTCGCCTCGAGGTCCTTCCAGTCTTCATGCTGTTCACCACGTCCTGCGTCCCGGGGCCGTATAAGAAAGCGCCGCAAGGTATGGGGCCTGCAAGCGCTGCGCTGAACGTAGAAGGCTCGGGAAGTATCCCCGATGTACCCTACTAGCGGTGCGATAGAGGTAACATGGGAAGGGCGAGGTGACAGCGATTCCCCTTTGATGGGTGGCGGTGCCGGGAGCCCTGCGCGCCAGGCACATGCCACTCCCAGGAACTTGATGCCCACTCTCTGCGATGGGAGTGAGTCACCAGTAAAACAAACTGGGAGGGGAGATAGGAGGCCAGGGGCGAGAGGGGGATGCTGGACCCCCCCCAGCCTGGACACTGCTAGCCCTGGGGGGGGGGGGGGGGGCCGACCGCCTTCTCGCCTCGCCCCATGTTCCACCCCGTCACCACGAGACCGCCCCAGTACGCGCCGCTCGCACACGCCCAGCGGCCGAGAGGCGCGGTCTCAAAGCCCTGCCCAGCCCGAAGAGGGCCCTCCGCGGTGGAAGTCCCCCTCTCCGTCCCAGGCCCCCGCCCCCGCCAGCGGCGGGGGCCCCCAGGAGGACGGCGGGGGGGGGGCCCCCACCGTGCGGGGACCCGCAGCAGCGTGGCGGTTCGAGACCGCCCTGAAGACGCGCGGGGGGGGTGGCCCAAGAGCCTCTGACGCAGGCAGATGGGGCTGCGCCGCCTCGAGCCAAGGCGGCGGCAGTACGAGCGACGCACTACATCGATGCCCCTCTCGGGGCATTCCCTCGAAGTCGGCCCCCCCCTTCTTCTCAGCCAAGTCGGTTATGGAAGGGGGCGAACTCGTCTCTGAGCTAAGCAAAGGAGGTTTGCGAGACTAAGTTGAAGGGGCCCCAAGACAAACACATAAATACACACAAATAAAACTATTCCCCATATGTTCCCATATGTTCCCCCCACTGCCCACATGTTCCCATATTTCCGGGGGAATCGACGATTAATTGTGTCTGTGTTTTTTCTCCTCCCGATGATTATGCGAATCACATGTTTGTTCAACATGTTGCTGCTGGGGCCTGGCCGGTCGCGCGGGCCAGCTGGGAAGCCGCGCACGAACATCTCTTGTGGCCCAGGTCGCCTCCAAGACTGCTAGGATGGCCCTGGAGGGCATCCAAGATGACGACGATGGCCCACTATGGCTTGGAAAACTGTCCCCAACTGCGCCTCCAGGGCGGCCAAGGTGTCCTCCAGACGGCCCAAGGTGTCCTCCAGACGGCCCAAGGGGCCGACAAGACGCCCCAAGCGGGCTGCAAAAATACCTCCAGGCAGCCAACGTCATTTATTGTCCTTCGGTGGCGGCATGATTTTAGCGTTCTCGCCTTTTTCGGACATCCGACGTTCCAAGAAGACGGCCCAACAGGCCCCCAAGATCGTCCCAAGACGACCCAAGAAGCCCCCAAGGGGTCCGCAAGACGGCCCAAGACGGCCCCAAAACGGCCCATGAGGCCCCCGCCCAGAAATCTCCAAGACTGTCCTGAAGCGCCGAAGGAAAACCCACGACTGCCCCGAGAGGGCCCCAAGACCTCCGAAGGCCAAGAGAAGAGGGTCCCTTAGAGGCCCCCAAGCCCCCAAGACACATCAAAATGCCCCCAAGAGGTCCCTTAGAGGCCCCCGAGAGGCTCCCAGGAAACCCCCAGGAGGCCCCGAGGAGGTCCCCAAAGGGCCTCAAGAGGCCAATCGTCTTCCTCCTCCTGCTCCTCCTGTTCTTCCTCCTCCTCCTCCTCCTCCTCCTCCTCCTCCTCCTCTTCCTTCTCCTCCTCCTCCTCCTCCTTCACCTCCCCTTTCTCTTCCTCTTCCCAATGTTCCCCCGAGGGGTTCCACAGCGGTTGGGGGAACACATACTCCAATAGCTTGGCCAAACTTCAGCCCAATGTTTGGCCGCATGCCGCATGGGCGATTCCAACAGGCAGGGGGCGGCGGTGATTCGCCGTGGGCGTCTTCGGTCTCCTCTGTGCTGCAACTCGCATGCCAATGATCTGCATGCGCGGCGCCACAGGAACAATCAGCCCCAATACTAGCAACCGTGCCCCTGGGCAAGGAGCGGGGTGATAGAATGCATCTGCGGCCGCGCGGCAACTTCAGAACCTTGAAGCGACACCCCTTGGAATCCCCGTCTGCTCGCGTCCACCTGCATGAATCGTCTCCTCCGCAAGACAAGCTCCGAATCGATCCAAAATGGCCTAAGACCAACCTGGAACGGCCAAGTATAGCTCTAAGCTGGCCCAAGACGTCCCCAAGGTGCCCAGAAAACTGCTTAAGAGCCTCCACGGGATCCCCCAAAGGCTGCATACAGCCCCGAAAGCTTCAGACAAGTTTCCCAATACCCTCCGGGACGCCAATTAAAAGGCATTCGCAGATACACACACACACACATTCTGGCGGTCGCGGCCTCGCACGCAGCGATGAGGCGCAAAAGCAAAGGCAAAACACACAAACGCACACACACACACACACACACACACACACGTTTCAGGGGCTGTTAGTTGAACGCGTCATGCCTGCCAGCCTTGATCGCCCCGAGAGGCTGCAAAAGGCCCACAAGAGTCTCCCAGGAGGCAACCCGAACGGACCTCAAGGAGCAACCGAAGATATGCCGACACGAAGTCCCAATAAGCCTGAAGACGGCGCTCCCTTGACAAACAGCGAGGGCACCAACACGGCCTCGAAACGGCCCTGGGCAAGAACCGGCGGAGTCCGGGCGCTGGACACGCATGCGGAGGGCCGGCGCACCCCCACCGCGCGAGCGCCTCCGCACGTGGTGGAGCGCGCGCAGGGGAGGCAGAAGGGAAGAGGAGCAGGGGGAGGTAGAGGAGGAGGAGGAGGAGGAGGCAGAGGAGGAGGAGGAGGAGGAGGAGGAGGAGGAGGAGGAGGAGGAGGCGGAGGATTAGGAGAAGGATAAGGAGGAGGAGGCACCCATGCACGCCAAGCGCACCCCCAGTGCGTCGCCGCTCGCCGCGGGCGCCTGCGTCGGTGCTGTCGCCGGGGCGGGCGGCCCGTGGGCAGCGGCGGCGGCCGCCCCGCCGGCCGGGCCTCCCAGGCGCCGGGAGGCCGACCTCGGGGCTCTGGCGGCTGCTCGCGCGCGACCCTTCCCTCCTCCTCCTCCTCCTCCTCCTCCTCCTCCTCCTCCTCCTCCTCCTCCTCCTCCTCCTCCTGGCGCACAGGCACTCAAGAGTCCCTGCACGTTCTGGGAAAAGCATAGAACAGAGAGACAGGACAGGGCAAGGAAAACGAGATGAACGAGCAGCGCGAGCAGACAGCATGGCAAAGCTGATGGGTGCAGGGCCGAAGGAATGGGGCGGGGCCTTGACGCCGTAGTTGTTGTTGCTGGTCCCCGCCCCTCTCCTTCCCTGCTGGCGGTGGGACGCGCGCGCGCACCCTGAGCGCGCGCTCTACCCCCGCAGCGACACGAGAGACCGCACCCCCAGCGACTTTGTGTAATGCCCCGACTGAGAAGTACAATGGACCGTCATTGCGACACCTCGAAAAGGGCAATTCTACAAAGTACGTGGTGGGCTCTGGAGGAAAACGGGCCCCCTGGCCTCAGAGGGGGTGGGCGGGGGCGGGGTCAGGGGCGGAAAAGAGCCTGGTCCACCACTCCTCCGAACCATCCTCCACCAAGGGCCAGGGGGCTGAAATCGTATAATGTTTAGGCCACGGGAGGCGCCGCCTCCGAAAGGCTGAGACCTGAGCTTTCGAAATCTTGTCGCATCTTTCTAATCGCCCAGATGGCTTGCTGGTGGCACATCTGCCACATCTATTACAGAAAACAACAGCCAAGCCTGTCTGGTCAATTCTTGCCACCGACAGCTTGTGGGTTGATGGTTCTGCTGCCAGCGATCTCAGCGTGGGGGGCAGGGCGGCGCAGCCTCCTCGGGGCTTAGCAGACTTAAATGACCTAGCACATTTCAAACATCCCCAGGCGTGCCCAGACCACCTCAAGGTGTGCGGGTTGGGGACAGGCTTGCCCGCAGCTGGTCCACGGGCCCTGGGAGTTTTGGCCAGGACCCCAAAATGGACCTTGGGACGCGGGAGCAGAGACAACATTCTGGCCATCGATCGGGCCACCGATTTGACTAGAGCAACATTCTCCTGAACAGTGAGGGCCACGTTGCTCCTCCTCCTCCTCCTCCTCCTCCTCCTCCTCCTCCTCCTCCTCCTCCTCCTCCTCCTCCTCCTCCTCCTCCTCCTCCCTCCTCCTCTCCTCCTCCTCTCCTCCACCCTCCTCCTCCTCCTCCTCCTCCTCCTCTCAGGCGGCCTCTGCCTCCGTGCCTCGCGTTCCTGGCTGCCTCCGCCTCCTCTCGCCCCTCCGCACGCTGCGCATGAAGCCGTGCCCTGGCTGCGGCGCGCGCGCGCGCCCCCCCTATGAAAGTACGGCTTGTATGGCTTTGGATGTGCGCGTTGTGTACGTGCGTGCACAAATATGTGTTCGTGCTCGTGATACTCACAGCGCGTGGTGCATCTACCCTCTCCTTGTCGTGTCCTTCGTCCTTTGTCTGTCTCCTCTCGCTCACTCTCCCCCCAGTTTGGGGGATGCGCGGCCTGCGCAAGAAGTTTCCTGCCCTCCTTCCGCCATGTCCTCGTCGTTCCTCCCTCTTCCCCCTCTCCCCCTCGTCCTCCTGCGCCGGTTCGTGGTCACGCGTGCAGTGCATGCCACTGCCCACGGCCGCGCTCTCTTCTTGCCATCGCGGCGCTCGCAGATCTGGCCGTACTTCGTCTCCGGTCTGGTGGCGCCTGGCCTGGCCGTCGGGGCTGCTCACCCTCACGGGGACCTGCTGTGCCCACACTGGGCACTCTTGCAGTCCGTTTTGCCCAGCATGGCTTACACCTCCCTTGTCTTAAGTCGGGCCTGCCCTCCTACAGGGGGATTTTGGAAGAAAGATGAAAAATAATCAAAAAATACCCCCACACTATTTTTAAACTATTTTTGGGAACTCCTCCTGTAGAGGGACAGGCCCGACTTAAACCTTGTCTGCCCATGCCGCATGCCCACTGGCGTTTGCCCATGCTTTTTCGCTGGCCCTTTCGCCGACCGTGGCCTTCTCGGTGGACGCCTCCGCCCGCCGCTGAGGTCTCCCCGCCCAGAGCGCCGCTCGCCTGCCGGGCCTCTCGCGGGGTCGCTGCCTCTGTCTTCTGTGCTTCCGGCGCCATCCCTGCACCCGTCTGGCTTTCTGTACCGCTCGGTCTGTTCGGCGATGGTCAAACCTCCCTTTAGTAAACCTCCCCTCAGTGAAGACGGCCTAGGACCGAAACCGACGGACCTGGACCCGCAAAAACGACGGCCGCGACGCCCTCTCGCGAACCGAAAACGGCCAATTCCTCAATCGACGTGTCAGGGTAGGAGGTCTGTCCAACCTCGGCCTGTTGCAGAGGGCAGCGGTTATGCCCACGCGCCCACCAGAGGTGGCCAGTCAGCTTGGAGCGCGTTCCGCCATTGATTGCTGCCCTGCCGCCGGGAGTCGTTGGCGCGCCAGGGGAAAGACACGTGTACGTGTGTGAGTGCCTACGCGTCTGCCATTGTGCTTGCGTGCGTGTGCGAGTCTGCACGCATGTGGGCGTGTGCGCACACGCCTGTCTGTGTCAACGCCTGTAAGTGTGTGTGCCTGTGCGTAAACCACTTCGGCACCGCCTGCACCCCGGGCTTCGCCCACTCCGGCCGCCCGAGGCCCCGCCTGCCTGTGCCCTGTCTCCCTAGCTAAAGCTGTGCGTAGCCCACATAGCTTTTAGCGGAAGAGGTTCGCTCTCGCCCCGCAGACCGAAAAAGTGTGTGCCTGTGCGTATGTGTGTATGTGTGTATGTGTGTATGTGTGTGTACGTTTACGTGTACGTGTACGTGTACGTGTACGTGTACGTGTACGTGTACGTGTACATGTACGTGTACGTGTACGTGTACGTGTGCGTGTGCGTGTGCGTGTGCGTGTGCGTGTGCGTGTGCGTGTGCGTGTGCGTGTGCGTGTGCGTGTGCGTGTGCGTGTGTGTTTGTGCGTGT